CGTCGGCACCAAAATCAGTGGTCTCACCGGCGAAGGTGTATTGGGCTCGAAGACGCGGTGAACACAACCGCCTCGAGCGTACCGCTCAAACACGAGCCGAGGGTGGAGGGTGGGGCGGCGGCGAAGAGGCGGGAGAGCTGGGTCCGTGCGCGCTGCTGCTGGGGGGGGTACCGCTGCTGCTGGGGGGGGGTACCCCCCCCCCAGCAGCAGCGCGCTGCTGCTGGGGGGTCAAGCCCCCCCCCCCTAGCAGCAGGGATGGCTTTAGATGTGCAGGGGGGGTAGCGAGCAGTGTGCGGCCGCTCGAGATCTGACGCGGTGACGGCTGTGACCGCGCCGGACAGGCTCAAAAAAAGGGTGGCGAGCATTGCCATTGGTCCCGCTGCATGACGCGCACTAGGAGCCGCCGCCGCCTCTCTCTGGCGGCATCCAGATAGAGGCTGCCCGGACAGCCCGGCGGCGTGGCAAGCACCCGCGCGCCACAACGAGGCAGCGTGGCGGGCGACGCCTCGGGCCATGACTGTCTTTGCACACACAGCGGCCGCGCTACATCGCGCTCGGCTCTCGCGCTCCCCGGACTGCTACCCCCACTGGGACACAGTGTATGTCTGAGTGTCTGAGCTCCGACACTGCTTTACAAATAAGCCAGTCTTCGACCATCGACCAGGTAGGTGGGGGACCAGGTGGTCCGTGCACCAGGTGCAGCTGCAGGTCGTGCACCTCGCAGGTGGAGACGGGTGCAGGTAAGGTAAGGTAAGGTAAACTTCTCCACACACCACAGTACCACAGAACACAAAGTGGTGGGGCAAGGGGGGGTGACCCTCGCATCTCCACGCCCGGGACACGGGCTGGAGCCCGGTCAGTGCAGAACTTGGTTTGTCTCATGTCTGCTGGAGGTGGAGCTCCCACACCCGCACACGTGTTCTGACATAGACTTGGCCAAGGAAGGGCACCAGGAGAGAGAGAGCCGTCGGAGCGGCCGCACACTGCTCGGGACCCCCCCTCGCCTGCACATTTAAAGTTAGCTCCCCCCCCCCCCCCCCACCCCACCCCACCCACCCACGCACGCACGCACGCACACACCCAGCTGCACGGAGGAGTGTGCCACACGGGGCGTTCACAGCTGCAAGCCCGCCTGAGTGTTCCCGAGCGACAGCTGCAAGCCCGCCTGAGTTTAGGGCCGAGCTTTTTGCTATCATTCACAGCTGCAAGCCCGCCTGAGTTCGGAGGGCCGAGCCTTTGCTATCATTCACAGCCTTGTTATTGAGAAGATAATACGTCCTATGGCGTTGTGCGCTGGTCTGTGTGAGGTTCACAGCTGCAAGCCCGCCTGAGTTTAGGGCCGAGCTTTTGCTATCATTGAGGGCACGTCCCCTTCGACACGGCCTGGTTTTCTTCTCAATACAAGAAGCTGTGTGCGTCCCCGATTATGCGCGCATTGCTTCAGCCTGCGGCCGGCCTGTCACGCCACGTGCTGCGGGGACAAGCCCGCACACTCGTGCCCGCGCCATCCAAGGCGTGGAATCCTGAGCGCGAGCCCCCCTCGAAGTCGATTTCGGGCACCATCAACCTCTCCATCCGACTGCCCGAAGAAGCTGTCTTGCACACTCAAGGCACGGCCGGCTCGACGCTGTACGACGCCCTAATGGCCGCCGATCTGAACGACGTGTGGCCCGGCGGTGCGTGCGGGGGCGCCTGCAACTGCTCCACATGTCGGGTGGAGATCGATGTCGCGCCGGCTCCGCTGCTGCCACGAGAGGACGATGAGTTGGACATGCTTGACAGCGCGGCGGCGGCAATTTCGCGGCAGGCGGACGCGGCCGGCGAGGACGGGGCAGCCGTGGCGGAAGTATACCTGGCGGATAAGTCGCGCCTCGCCTGCCAGCTGGTGCTTCGGGAGGAGGACGACGGCCTCGAGCTCACACTGCCAGAGGACGTGCTGAACATGCTCGAAGTGCCGCTCTGGCTGCGCGGCAGCAGATGAGCGGCAAGGGAGGCGCCACCGACTTGGTGAGGCCGCGAAGTGTCAGCGAGCGTCTTGCGGATCTGCCCGCCTCTACCGCACAGGCGCCGGACGGAGGCAGGCAAACGGGGGGGGGGTATGGGGGCCTCTGGCCGCACCCTCTCCCGGCCACCGACAGTCGCTTGTGCTAGCCGGCGGTTCGTCTGCGTTCGTTTTCTCCGGCTTGAATCAAAAGAAACCTTGACACCTACACAACACATAAGGTCTAGTAATGCAACCTAAGCGAAGGTGAAAGTCTAAAGAATAGGAGAAAGAGGGTCAGGGAGAAAACGACTTACTCTCGAGTGTACGCGACCCCGAGTGTGTGTTAGGCGGGATGGGAGAGAAAGGACACCTGTCCCGGCTAGCACCTCTCCGCGCAACTCAATTCTTTTCGGTGTGCACACCCCATTCTTTTCCTTAAAATCCCACACAGCGGAGGTCAGCCGCGCGGGATTTATTTTCCCAGTATGTGGTTCTAACGAACATACCCGAACACTGCTGACCGCATTTTCGGCATTTATTATTCGGGAGTTTTCTGAAATTCTTTTCGGGTGTACCTGTGTTAGTGCAGTGCGCGCCGGTCCTGTGCCCACATGTGTGCTTTCGAACTTGAAGCACTTGGAGCACTTGGAGTGCAGTCATTAACCTCACATCCAGGGCCGGGGAGCTAAGAAGCGCACCCAGCGAGCCAGATGATCGGCATCGGGTCACGGGCTAGAGAGCCCTAGCCCTGGGGGGTGCGCGTTCCTTCGCAGGGAAGGGCCGTAAAGTAAACACGGTTCTCCGAGGGTTAGTCTGCGCTTTGGGTTTCCCCTAGCGGCGGAGCGCCCCCTCTTACTCGGAGCTAAGAAACACCAGACACGCACACGACGTACATCCTCACTCGACGTCACCCCTCAGGGCCCCTCCGTTCGGCCTCCCCACCCTCGATTCAGAGGGGCTCCCCTCTCTTCCCGGTCCTCCTCCCGGCTCGCTTTCCGCTGGGCAGCGGCTGCGGAGCCCGCGTTCCCCTCTTATACTTCTTCGGCCGCGGCCTCGCCGCCGTCTCGCCTTCTCTGCCTGATACTGTGTTGACTCCGCCTCCGGCGATCCCGTGCCCGACTCCCCGGGTGAGGGCGGCGGCATTGGGTCGTGTCGCCTCCCCTCCCCAGGGGGTCGGGCCGGAGGCTCTCCTTGGTCGACGAATCGCGCCCGCATCCGCGGTCTCTCTATCGTACTCGGCTCGCCCCCCCCCCCCCCCCCGCCGGCTCCTCGTCGAGCTCGGGGGGTCGCGGCCCTCCCTGTCGTAGTTCACGATGGTCCGGCGCATGCCGCCGCGACGGATCTACCCGCGCCGGCGAGCCCGTACGCTCCAACCCCATTCGCAGGGGCCGAGTCAGCTCGTCTCTCGCCTCCTCCGATCGATAGCTGACTCCAGGCCCCGCCCGGAGCCCTCCGGCCTCGGCCTTCCGGATCGCCGGTGGGCCCGCCGTCGTCCTGTGGCGCCTCCCCTCCCTCGGCCCCCCCTCCCTTGGGCACGTGGGCACCACCTTGGAGCACTTCGTATGTGTTACCAGGGCGCTCGTTGCTCCTCCGTCTCTTTGTATCTTCCATATACTGCGTTTATCAGAAGACGTATGGTTCTTGCACTTGTGCAAGATTGGGCGTCTTCTGCCGCAGTCCCTTTGATGGGAGGCCCCAGGGTGGGGGCCACCTCGAACCCCTAGCCAGGGATTCGAGCGGAGGGTGCCCCGGATTCATCTATCCGTTGGGCCCCGGTACATTCATTAGAACTGATCACTTTGCGCAGCAGCCGTCCCTTCGCCGACTGGACGGCAGTGCGCTGCGCTGTCGCTCTGTCGAGCACGCTCTCGTGCTTCGTTCGTGACCCACCCTGTCCCACCCGTGTGTGATCAGTGTCTACAGACGGGGGGGGAGTATCTGAGTATCTTTGGCTCACGCCAGGGCGCTCGTTGCTCCTCCGTCTCTTTGTACTCGAGTATCTTCCATATATACTGCGTTTATCAGAAGAAAGACGCGTATCGCGCAGGCGAGTTAACGGGCGGCCGATATGCGGGAGAGAAAGGACACCTCTCCCGGCTAGCACCGCTCCGATCTTGGAGCACTTGGAGCACTTGGAGTGCAGTCATTAACCGCACATCCGATCTTTCTCAATTCTCTCGTCCGCAATTTCTTGCTTTCCTGGATCCTTTGCGGTGTTTGCGGTGTGCATCCATTCGATTCGAGACTACTGAGTCGATGCTCACCTACATCGTTCTCAGCTCAGTCACGTATGTGGTACCAAGAGCTGTCATGCTCGCCAAGCGAGTGAACTCGCCGGTCATGACCACTCCAAATCAGATGCCTGTCGCACAGCTGAAAGACGAGCTGGATGGTCTTGGCGTCCCGTGGCGTGGCGTGGTGTCCGAGAGGGAAGGGCTCGTCCAGGCTCTCGAGGAGGCACGCAGGAAACAGGCGCCGTCGTCTCCTCACCATGCTGCGTCGCCCATGCATAGCTCTGCGTCGCCCATGCCACGGGGCGCGAGTCCTGGCTTTGGCGCCGAGTCGCCCATGCCGGGTCGCGAGAAGGAGTACGAGTCCTACAAGGCAGGCACCGCTGGCGCCCGGCGCAGCTTCTACGACCTGCCGAATGAGGACTTCCGGCGGCCGTATGGCGCCGGAAGTGCTCCCGCGTCCCGCGACGGCTACGCTGCGCCTGCGACAGCACCTTCGGCTGCCAGTCCAGCCGGCGGAGCGCAGAGCGTCATTCTGCGGACGAGCGCGGCGGGCTCGTTTGG